CGGGCGCCTGTGGTCCCAGCTACTTGGGAGGCTGAGGCAGGAGACTCGCTTGAGCCCAGAAATTAGAGGTTGCTGTGAGCTGTGATGCTACAGCACTCTACCCCGGGGGACAGCTTGAGGCTCTGTCTCAAAAAAATAAATAAAAATAAAAAAATAAAAAAATTTAAAAAAAGAAAAGAGATGAGAGAGAGAGGGAAAGAAAGAAAGAAAGAAAAGCATAATGATAACACCATCTGCTCGGGAATGCTTTCTGACTGAGATCAGGGTCCACCTGTACTCATAACACACAACTAATCCAAAGGTAAAGGTCACAGCCTGGGGCTAACCACCTGGTCCCCAGCCCCATCCCCCCCAACCTCCCACCCCTCACCTCTCCTCGGGGGTCTTGCTGTGCTCTTGCTGACACTCTGCGGAAGACTTTGCCAGCCCCTCTTGGGACCATCCCCTAGACAGGGTCCTGCCATCCTCATCCCTAGGGCCAGTGGCCATGCCATAGGTCCTGGGGCCATATCGTGAGCTGCCATCATGGTTAAAGGTGAGGCGGGAGCCCCAGAGGCGGTCAGGGCTGGCAGGGACCTCCTTCCGCGGCTGCTCCATCTTGGCCAGGATCTCTTCCACTGTGGTGGCTGCAAAGCGCTCTGAGGCTGGACGGAAAGGGGCAGGGGCCTTCCTCACGCCCCCTGGGGCGGCACATCGAGCTGGAGGTGTCAAAGGAGGTAGCTCCTCTTTCCCAGGCTCTTGGGTGGCTTCTCCTCCAGCAGGGGTCTCAGCTGCAGGCTTTGGTGCAAAGGGAAGGGGACGCTTGCTGCCACCGTAGGGCTGGGGTCCTGCTAGCATGTTCATCTTCCTGGCAGAAGGCAACTCAGCCAGGGGACCCCGGGGAGGCCGAGGCCCAACAGGCACCAGCAGGCTGGGTTTTGCAGGCAGGGCTGGCTTGGCAGGTAGGGCCCGGGGTTTGGGCTTGACAGGGGGTTTGGCCGGAGGGTCACCTACCAAAAGGAAGCGTTGTGGGGAAGGAGCCGTCAGAAGAACCAGAAAGTAGAACTTCTTATGTTTCTTGTCCCACCTCAGCCCCCTCCCTCCAATTTGAGAACATTCACAACCTTCTAGGCACGAAATGCCACCTCTTCCACGAAGCCTTCCTCAATTTTCTAAACACATCTCAAAAGCATCTTCTTCCTTCTCCAAATTCCCAAAATGTTTAGCCAATTGCTCTTATAAGCAGAAACTATTTAAACACCCACCCAGCACCTTATTTCCACTTGTACCCTCTTATGGACCCGGCACAAGTTGTCATTAAATGAATGAATGAATGTGAGCGAAGAGCCAAGGAGCCAATAAATGAATGCCTTCCTACCCACACCATGCAGGCAGCCCCTATCTCCCAGTCTAGTCCTTTCCCCTTATATGACACTATAATGTACCACCCCAGCTAAGTTTCTCCACCCCCTTCCCCAGCACACCCCAAGGGCACCTCCTCACTGTCATCCACCTCCCCACTGTCATCTGGTGGGTGTGTGATCAGGAATGCAAACTTACTATTGACCTAAGTCAAACAAAAGTCAATCTGCTACAGGAAAAAGAACACACATAACCAGAAACCTACCTTCTCTATAAGGTATTCTAATGCCAAATAAAAGACCATGGAATTACTCATGGCCACAACCCTTCTAAGAGAGTCTATGTCACCTACTCATTTGGACAGCAAGAGTCTAGACAAGGAACCGAGAGGCTGGGATGCAAACTCCCATAGGTGCACTCCATTTCTCCCTCTGAGCCCCAGTTCCCCTTCTGGAAAACATGCAAGTAGACCCACAGCATCTCAAAGGTCTCCGTCTGCTCTGATGCCTACTACAAATCCATGATCTTGAATTATCCTGAAGTTTCAACAGAGGCTGAGAACCTTGCAAACTCATCCCGTGCTTTCTTAGCACTCCTTCCCTCCTACCTGAACAGAACCATCATTCAATTACCCTCACAAGACAGAAAGGGCATGTAGCCCCTGCCCTTCTCCCCCTCCTTCCAACCACCCCGCCCCACACTGCACCCATGGGTACCTGGCTCGGAGCCAGCAGGCACCAGCTCCTCCTCCATCTCCCGGGGCGCTGGGGAAGCCATAGCCGAGCTTTCCCTGAGAGTAGATACTTTCATCACATGCGGCAGACCCTGCTCGAGAAGTGGGAAGCAGGGGGGTGTGAGGACCCTGGTGTCTGAGGACCCAGGAAGAAAGAGAGAAAAGAAGGAAAGAGTTGGGCGTTGGCAGTAAGTTTAGCCAAGAAGTCTCCTCTTTCCAGCAGAGGCCAGAGTGTGGGACAGGAAGAGGGAACTTGGTGGGGCGGAGGTACAGGAGGTCAGGGAGGTTCCTAGCAGCCAGATTCTCAACTCTTCCCAGATCCTTTCCAACTGGTCTCCCAACCCTGAAGTCCAGAAGCTTTGGGGAGCCACCCAATGCTCCCTCCTCTGACCAGCTCTCCCAGATACCCCACTTACAGTTCCCAAGGCACCCTTGGGTCAGGTGGCCCGCTGGAGATATCTACTCCAAGTAGAACAAGAGGGCCGCAAAGTCTGAAGTCTCTCCGTGAATCACCTCAGGGGAGACGGGAAAAACCCGCTCCTCCCCAACCTGGGGCTCCGCCCCACTGCCTACCTCCCCCTTCCTGCTCACCCTTCCCTCCCTCCCGTCTTCCCTCCCCCCTGCAGCTGGGAGTGGTTCTCCCCCCCCCCAGTTTTCCTTTCACATCCGTGCCCCACTCCACCCTCCCTCCGAGCCGTCTCATCCAAACACGGAAAAATAAGGAATGAAAAGTAAACATCTGGAATACATTTTTTTCTTTAATTTCTCAATCGCTTTGGCTTCAGCTTGGAATTTGATGAGGTAAAGCCAGGGCCTAGTCCTGTTGCCATAGCAATGGCCTCCCACTGGATTTCCAGAGCCTCGCCAAGAGGAAGGAGGAGCCGGCCCAGGCTTGGGCTGGGAGAACGGGACAGGGCTTGAGAACATCCGGGGGGTGGAGTGACTTGGGGAAAAACTCCCTAGGGTTCCCCCTTCCAGGACAATCAGGGTGAGATAGCCAAAGCCTATGAAAAGGGAATATATGGACATCACTCACAAGCCTGGGATTGCTCTGAAGGAGTTCTGAGGGGGACAGAAGAAATTAAGTGACACAGCCCCATGTGCAAAAGCCACATAAGTACTCTTCCTTGAAACCTCTAACAGGAACTTCAAGGTCTGATATATCAATTCAATGCTGAGTGTCTATCACTTTCTAGTCATGTGACTTCTCTAAGCCTCAGTTTCTCTGTCTGAAAAAATGGGGTTATGGAAACTCAGGAGGCTTAAGTCAGATAATGCACAAAAACTACTTAGCACAAGGCCTAGCATACAGTAACTGCCCCAAAAATGTTGGTCATTATTACTGTGATTCCAGGCAGTATCACCAATGAGTTAACATACCTGGTAACCAACTCCTCCTCTCCCCTAACCCCAGGCTGCCAGCATTCCCAGACCATTCCTTCATTCCCCAAACCCATTCCTGTCACCTGTTCTTCAGACACTCCACCACCTCCTCAGTTCCCACGTGGCTCTTGAGCACCCTCCCACCTACAAAACCCCCCAGGCTCTCTAACCCGGGAGATAGAGCCCCGCCTCTCTTATTCAAAAGCAAGGAGGATGTTTCCCATCACCTGGTATGCACCGAGCCCTGTGGACAGCCAAACCCTCTCCAACCTGCAAAGGTCACTGCCTCCTTTAAATCCATCCCCTGCAGCTGATCTGGAAAAACAGCACCAAATCTAAAGAAAGAAAACCTCTCTCCTGCCCCTTTGCAAAGCACATTCCTCCTCCCCTATCTCCGACCCTGCCCTGGCTTGTTCTCAAGATGGGAGAAGGTATGAAGACAGTAGAGAAATCCAGGACTGTCAACTCATTGGTCAACCAACTACCAGGGAGGACTACCCACTGTGGGTGGGTGAATAACTGTGCAGAGCCAGCCCAAGTGTGTGTGTGGGGGGGGCGGGGGCATATGATGGAAAAAATAAAATTAAAAAAACACAAGAATGTTTTCTTGTCCTTGAACATTATTACAAGGGACATGGTGAGTGGTTAGAGGTGGAGATGAACTGGCCCAGAACCGAAAAGCCCCTTCACCTGGGGGTCTAATAGGCCCCTCTGCAGTATACGGGGCTGCAGCAATGAAGGCGGGCTGAGGCCCCCAGCCAGGAGCCCCAGATGACCAAAGCCATGGCCAGAAGGTGCAAAATCGCAGCACCTCTGAGCACTCCCCACGCCCAGGCGGGACGGTGAGGGGTAAAGGAGATCACCGCAGGGAGTGAAGGCGCCAGAAGGGCTGGGCAGCTCCAGCTCGGGACAGGCATGGTCGCCCCTATAGATCACAGGATCTCAGACGACCTGAGAGGTCGGCAGGCCTGTAAACTGCTGGAAGAGGGAGGGCCAACGGGAAGACGGAACAGCCCAGGGCAAGGGGCAGTCTGGGGGGGGCCAGTAGGGAGGTCTGGACCCAGAAGTGACCATGGCAGCCTGAGAGAAGAAGAGGGTGGTGGAGGAGGAGAAGAAGGGGGCGGCGGGGGCAGCAGAAGTGGACCACCGCGCGGGATGCAAAGCAGCAGGCGAACAGACGGACGACTAGGGACGCGGACCGGGTGGAGGCGGACTGGGGTAGCTGGGGGCGTGCCGAAGGAGCGGGAGGAGGGGGCTAAAGCGGGCCCGCGGGAAGCGGGAGGCGGGGGACCCTCCAGCCGCTCTGCCCGCCCCCGGCCCCGCCCCAAGCCCTCGCCCCCTCCCCCCTTTCTTCTGCTTCTCCAGCACGAGCTCCAGACCGTGCGCCCTCCGCCCCCGCGCACACGCGCCAGCTCCCCCAGGTCCCCAGCGTCCCTAGCGCCCTGGGCCCCTGTAAACTTTGCTGGCGAACCCCCCCTTCTAACCTGCGGACCCGGCTGGAAGGCGCCTACTCCTTCTATGCCCCTCCCCCGCCCTATCCTGGACCCCGCCCCCGCGCACTCACGCGCTCCCCCAGGATCAGTGTCCGCTAGCCTCCGCGCCCGGACGCCAGTCCTCGCCGCCGCCGCCACCGCCGCCGCCGTCACCGCGGGACCAAGCCTGAGCGAGCCCGGCGGTGCCCCGCCCCTGGACCCACCCAGGTCCACGCCCCCAGAGCACTTCATGAATAATCATAAACGGTAGAAATGGGGAGTAGAAGCCCGCGCGGAATCTGTCCCAACGTAGGCAAACAGGAGCAGCCCAGTGCTCAATTATTCATGATCTTGCAAATGAGGGGCCCGCCCCAAGCACGGTCTCGGGCGAAACTGACGCAATTCGGGCAAGAGCACTCGGGGAAATGGCCACCGAGACGACTGCCTAGACAGCCCTAACGTGGCCCAGCCTCAGGCCCAGCCGCCTGCACAGATTGCAGCATCATAGAGCCACAGCTAGCAAGAAGGGAGCCGTTGGCGGACTGGAGAGGCTTCCTGTAAAACCACTTGAGTCCTCCTGCGGACGTCAGCAACGTGGCCACCCCATGTGTATAAATTAAGACTTAGTACCACCGTGAGTAAGCTCTAGCTCCTCCTCTGCGCCCTTTATCTCTTTTTACGCTCTGTTCTCAGGTGTAGGTTCTTCCCAACCTAAAATTTGGTATCCACTTTTCTATAAGAACAAAAGCTGCACACAAACTCCACACGCTATCAGACTGAGCCCTCAACATCCAACATCCATCCCCACACATTTATCCTCTCTAGGTTCAAGTTTCCACTCCCCCAGTTGCAGGAAGGATAGTCAATCCTGATTCTATTATCTAAAGCCTTGGAAGACCCTTAACTCATAGGTGATTAAGGATGGAGCCAGGAACTGCCTTCCCTTAGCTGGGCTAATGGAGTGGAACTGTAAGAGTAAATTCCTAATCAGATCAGCTTTCATTTCTAAGCTCTCAGGTGGCTCATCCTGGCAGAAAAGGGTGAAAACCAATGCTTGTCCAGCCGGGAACAGAACAGGATGTACCTGGAGACTTGCTTCCCGTCTAGCTATGAGGGCCCTGCCCAATCAGGACAGAATGATAACATCAAGAGGGCGCAATAATCCAACAGGGCCAAGAAGAAGGCATAAGGACATAGTTTCCAAAGTCAGTTCCCTTTATTAAATGATTTTCACAGACCAGAAATACAAAATAAAAGTAGAAATAGGCCCCAGTTAGGAGCTACAGGCCTGACTGCACATGACCCCTGCTGCAGCCACTTGGACAAGCTCAGCTATATATCCCTAAGGTTGGGAAAGGAGAATGAGGATATGAATCCTGCATTGCCCTGCCTCCCACCCAGTCTCTCCCCAATTTATAAAGAGCCATTCTTGTGAAGCAGCAGAGTGAGGTGGCTTCCCCTGCTGCCCCACTGAAGTGCATACCAGCAGGAGAGCTTGTTCAGATGATACAGAATCCAAGGACTACATTTCTTGAGAAACTGGTACCAAATGCAGGTAGGGAGCCTGGGGGTGTGCCAAGGCAAGGACAAGGAAAAAGAATCCTCCTCCCCTCTACTCATCGGATCCTGACGCTGAGTCCTCTGAGCTGGGGGGAGTACTGGCTAATTCCTCTTCTTCAGAGTCCTGAAAACCAAAAGTCTCTTAAGAAGAAAGAAACCACAATCCAGTGGAGAAGGGCCCCCAATTCCCTATATGCCCACAACTGCCTCAGAATCCCACCAATCCCCTCTAACTCATTATACTTATAGACCACCCCACACACTCAGATGCCCTCATCTGCCCGGCCCCACCGCCCCCACATGCCTACCGCACCTCACTCCGCCTCCTCTTCTTTTTGCTCTTGTTCTCTCCTGAAGAGCTCTCATCACTAGACACAAACTCTTTGCTCTTGAAGCTCTCACTTAGCTGCCTTGACGATGGCTTGGATGATGATGAGCCCCTGGAGGGTGTTGATTTCTTCTCCATCTTTACCTTTACTTTCTTCTTCTTCTTTGATTTGTCCCTGTATTAGCAAGAGGGAAAAGAAGCTGAGCCAAATCTCTCCCAGCTTTAACAAGGCCTCTCCAAATCCCAGCCACACTGCCCATTTCACTCTGAACTGAAACCTAAACAGCCATGTCAGCCTGGGAGAGTATCCTAAGTGAGTATACCAGAAGTAATCCCATACACAAAACATTGTTGACCTTTCTTGCTTTTTCCTTAAAAATTCATGTGAATTGTGCATTGTGCTCCATGATAGTAATTTAATTTCCCCATGCCTTCAAATCAAATGGACCTCCAGGAAAATGGCATGGCTGTATTTATCTAGTGTCTTCAATTCCCTAACACACTGCTTGGGCAATGACTCCCCAGGTTTGAGAACTGCCCTACTACAGTCAAAATCTTGTCTACTGTCTTTAACATTCCAATGCTCAACTCTGACCTGCAAAAAAAAAATCTGCCAAAAAGGCAGTTACTGGGCCATATTGTTCCCAACACTCACCTCTTAGAAGACTCCCCTCGGCCCCCTTCATATTCTTTCATGGCTTTTTCATATTCCCTCCTCGCATCTTCAGCCTTGCGATCCCATTCCTGTCTCTCACACACACACAGAGAAAAACACCAAAGAATGAGATCTTTTCCCATTCTGCCTAAATTTTCCCACAGGTGAAATTTAGG